CACTCAAAATAAGACCTTTTCACCTCAACTCACTGTTCATTCTCAAATAAACAAAGTCTACATTGTGGCCTGTCTATCTTATGCCCTCCTTTTATCAGCGTTTTCAATGTGTCTGTTGTCATTTCATTTCATGCATCGTTGCATTTACATTCTTTGCCCTCATTACTTACAGCCCATTATTACCCTCTTCACTTTCACCATTACAAACACCTTGCCCAACTGCCAAGTAACAACTGCCAAGTATTACTCATCTGCATATTTACTTTTTCTCACACACATCAAGACAAATGCTCACTCACTCACTCACCCACCCACCCACCCACTCACTCACTCACTCACTCACTCACTCACTCACTCACTCACTCACTGCCCCATTGAGTTCCACTGAGTGTTTCAGTGAGCATTAACCTTCATGTATTTGACAAAATGTACATATGCAGATGACAAATACGTGCACAAAATACTGAGCAACACTGTGTTACACTGCATAGTGTAAGGTGCTTCTAATGGATGTCAATAGAATCAAAGCAGACAATCACTTACAAGGAAAACAAAAACATGCAAATGCAACAGGGCAAAACGCCCCTCATCTTCCCCACCAGTCTTACCGTTATCTTCACGACTTTATACATGCATTGCAGCATGTTTCACTCCACCTGAGGACCTCAAATCTACTATCATTTCTATATAAACAAAGACTAATAAAGGGAACGGGACAACTGCACAAATCATCAATCAACACCAACGTACATCAAAGACACTTTGTAAATGATACTTTTGACACCAACCATGAGCAAACTGCCTGCGGTACATGCCTAACTGAACCTTCTACATTGCATCATTTCTATTTACTCTAAAACAAAGCACCACCTACATGTCATTACTGCCAGACTGCTCTTACCATCACCAGGAACAATCTTCCAATAATAATGCAAAATATAACACAAAAATCACTTTCACTTCCTATACACATATTTTTTTTTACATACATACATACATACATACATACATATATATATACATACATACATACATACATACATATATATATATATATATATATATATATACACACATATATATATATACATAAATATAAATATATGTATGTATGTATGCATGTATGCATGTATGTATGTATGTATGTATGTGTCTATACAGTGCTCACAATAAATAGTTACACCCCATTTTCCATATAGGCAGTGTATTTTGGTCAATTTCAAATAAACTGCTTTATTAAACTCCTATATTGATGACAATAATATTCCACTTGCCAAACTTAACACTTACACATTTCTCTTCTGTACTGACTACTTTAATGTAAATGCACACATATAATCTTGTACAGCAATTACCAAACTCTATTTCAAAGACAGATCTGTGAGTGCTGTACTTGTATATCCTCAGCACTAAGCATGTCAAGATAATCACCGTTCTCAAGGTGTCCCGCACTTTTGGAAAACTCAACATTTTAAAACCGCCAACATTTTCTGCTTTACCTTTCCTAAAACACGTGTAACATTTCTGTTATTGAATTTTTGTTCCAGATTTTTAGGAAAACAGTATCACCGGCAGACAAACTCTCTTCAAAGATGCTACTTTACATTGTAAACAAATCACTGTTTTTTTTGGTTGTTGTTTTTTTTTTCACTACTAAACAGCGCAGCCTCACGTTTACAGCTCCAAAATATTGGACATGTTTCTCAAAATAAAATATATTACATTCAAAGGGGAAAACCATTTTGTGTTTGTTTGTTTTTTTCAGGGTGTCCACAGGGTTTTATATGTCTCAGATTTCAAAAACTACATCTAACACTCTCAAAACAACTCACTCTCACATGCTGCTGCGGGTCTTTCATACACAGCTCATCACTTTCAACAATTCTCCATGAACAACCAACAAATCCATCTCAAAATATGTTTAACTACATTAACATTTATTAACTGTTGAGCAACAGGCTTTCCTCGTCCTCCTTACATCCTAACAAAAACATTTCTTTACAACTTCTCCATGTTTTCACTCATAAATCTTCCCTATTATAGCTTTTTAAACTGACACATTCTGATCGTCTCATTTAATGTTGTTCATGCTATTATTCTCTATCGCATTCGACAAAGATATTCTCTTTTGCTTTCATTTTCACAACACTTTTACATTAGTAACTCGGTGTGAGTGCCTATTAAAGGAATGACACCAAAAAAAAAACTTCAAAAAAACTTCCGCTAATAAAAAATATATGAACACTTCAGATGCAAAAACCTCTAAGTGCCATCTGCAATTTTCTGATGAAAATCAGCGTCTTGCCATTATGCTCAGTTCTTTCATATTCAAATCCATACAAAACACACTAGTCTTTACCATCAAACTTCAGTTACTCAATCAAGACGCAGGACCCAGTGAGAAAAATACTCGTATTACCACAACATTTCAGACAGCACTTACAGCTTTTTGCATCTGGAATCTTCACATGTACATCTTTGCATGTTTTGGCCCGTTATCTAAAATATGTGCTTACAAAATCACTCACCAAAGAGGGGGGAGCATGACCTGTCGCTCCTCCTCCTGTAAGCTGTTTTAATGCGTACACCAACCCCACCCCTAACCCTACCCCCAGTGACATCACTCGTAGAAGAAGTGCAAAAAAGGTGGAGCTCAAGCTTAAGCTCCCCCTCTCTGGAGCTCACCTCTCCTCAAATGGCTCTGCAGCGAGCACCACTTGGAAAAACTGGACATGGTGACAACAGCAGAAACCCTGCTTTTACCCACACCGTTTAAAAGAAAATTTATAAGAGCAGCGACCGCAACATTACCGTCAAACCCTCATATTTTTAGCCGAGGTGATCACACCGACACCATCTAAGACCGGCCCATGGCTACTAAGCACTGCACACGTACACGCGTTTCTAACTAAAGCACTCCTCTTTCACCTCCCTCATATCACTTCTGTTTTGTACAGTCCGCTCACTTTTCTCATACATTAAGTCAGGGTCACTGCAGATAACATGATGCCACATTTAAGACTTATTACGACCTTTTTAAGACTGCTAAATCTTACATTTAAGACCTATATCGCAATATCAAAAACACGCCAGAGAAAATGTAAAAGCACAAAATTTGCAGTTAAATAAATGTATTTAAACGGAACAGTACTACAGACAGGCTAAATGCACCATTGAACTACAGAAAAAAACAAACATCTTAACGCACACCGCACAAAACGGATGAAGTTTTTATACTTGACGCGTTCACCATTGACATATTTTTTTAACTGACAGGGGGCGGACAAAAACAACCACACAAATAAAAAGCTAATCATTATCACTGAAGATGTATTCGGGGGCCTTTTTTTGTTGTTTCAACAAACTTATCCCTCAGGTTTTTCCAAACTTGTACACAAACTTTCCTCCTTTCCCAAGACTGTTGCAATATCTAGCCAACAATTATTGCTCATCTGCTTCTCCCTATGGTGCATCGATGGTAAAGATGTCAGTACAGACGGTCGTGCCCGTTTCAGTCAATATCTCTTCAAAGTGTTTCATATTCAACTTAAATCAAACGTGGCGCCGCGCGACTCTCAAGAGTTTAAAAAAATTCCATTTGCTCCGCTGTGGCGTCATTTCACTGACAAATGTCGTGAGCGCACTATTACAAGTCAACAGCGCATTCGTGTAATACGAGCGAGCGAATCTCTTTGCTCGTGCACAAATTTCCTCTGTTTGTGGACAAAGCTGCGTGCGAGCTCTCAAATATAATACGCTGCTCACTCTCAAACACGCACTGCTCATGCACGCATTTTCTTGCGCGCTCTCAGTACACGGTTCCCTCTTCCTTTCCTGATTTTTGATACCATCTATATTAGTAATATATTATTACGCTATTTCTTACAAATAACCAAAATACTGCAATACACATATCACATTTTTAATCGAATAAAACATCACATTTTTGGCTGTAGGTTGTATAAAATTTTTCCAGTTTCAAACACTTAAAGACGCAGAGAAAAAGTTTGATTTTAAAAACATTTATTAAACATCCATAAGGTGCACCATACTAATAAAACAACAGCTTACGACGTTTGTCAGTGAAGTAGCGGCGTTCTCTGCCAGCCGAAATCATGTCGCGCGCACTCAAAGCACAGCGATGACGTCACATTGTCCGCGCGCACTGAGTTAAATATCCGAAAGCTGATTGGCTATTGCAGATTGACCTTTTTGTAGTTGTAATACCGCAAATTACAATTGGACTACTGAAATAAAGAACTACAACACCCCAAAAACCAAGCAACAACAACTACAACAACAACAATTTCAATGAGCATTACATGTAGCCACAGCCGGAGCAAGCTGAACTGCCGCTCTAGGCAGAGGACGATCACGCCGCCCTCAACACCAATGTGAAAACGAAAGTGACCGATTATGAAAATGAAGTGAGGTGTCGCGCAGACCTCTTTTCCGGCGCACTATGCGCAGATATAATTGAGGACGCGCGGGTGCTCAGGGAGGGAGGGAGGGACGGAGGTGTCACGGACACTGCGCTCTTCATTCTGCCGCCCTATGCGCAGATATAACTGAGGACGTGTGGGTGCTGATGGAGGTGTCGCTGACGCCGCCCTCTCTATTCTGTCGTCTATGCGCGAATATATTTGAGGACGCGGGTGGTCAGGGAGGTGTTGCTGATGCCGCCCTCTCTATACTGCCGCCCTAAGCGCCCGCCTAGGTCGCCTCTATGGACGCGCCGGCCCTGGATGTAACGTTAAATGGACATCGCAAAAACCTACAAAGACCTAGAACAGCCAATTAAATACTTTTTAAAGCCCTACATTTACATTTGTACATTTTAGACTTTTTCAGACGCCGCAGGGACCCTGTTCAATTACTTCCTCTCACTATTGATTGACTCCAGGAAATATTTCACTAGTGATTTCACCTTCACAGGGCTGTACATAACTGTGTGTGTGTGTGTGTGTGTGTGTGTGCGTGCGTGTGTGTGTGGTACTCACATCGTTGTCCATGTACGTGACGAGCGGTGATCTGCAGACCCTCAGCAGCTGCTCTTCGTCCTGCTCATCGTACGCCTGCAGCAGATCCTCCAGGGCGGCGCAGTCCTCGCTCCCGCTGAAGCCCGGGATACTGTAACTCTCGCGCACACACTTCTGCGCCGCCACGTAGTCCGCTCTGTGCAGCTGGACCAGAACCTGAGCGATGCATTTCTGGAAACACACACACACACACACACACACACACACACACACATCACATCACATCTGCAGCTCCACAGCATCGCCTACTCCAAATTACTCCATTCCTCTTTCAATGCCAACACTTTATATCGGCAAACATTTGAAAAACAACTCAATATAACTAAATATCATACACAAAAATACATATTATTATTATTATTAATATTCAGGTCTTAAAAGGTGCTGAAGATCAAATATTCTCGATTCAAATCTCAAATAAGACAACATCTCACAAGACAGGACTATTAATAAATGCATCTGCAGCTCCAGAAAACAAACAAACAAACACACACACACACACACACACACACACACACACACACACACACACACTCACCTTATAACACGTGGGATAATTCTCCATCTCTTTGTACATGCTCTTCTCCTTCTGAAGAGACGCAGCGGCTTCATCAAACCTGTCGCAGACGTCAGTCGTCAGTCGTATTACAGTCATTTATCATTTTTACAACCGCTTTCTCATTTTGCAGCTCACTTTAGCACACATAAAGGAGTTTCAACAAAATTTCGATACATTTTTCCATACATAGAAACACACAAACAGACATATGAGGAATATCACAGGAGTATCAGCGCCATATGACTGTATATCAGCACCAGTGAAAGGCATTTGTTGGCTCAAAGTCACAGGCCGAGCGTTTTATTGTCCCACCATTGCTAATATACAGCCATATGGCACTGCGACCAGTGTGATATTGCATTCACACAACAGTTTAATGGCATAATCGTGCGTATAAAAAAGAAAATCAAACACAGAGAGTCTCCAAAGCTCTTTTGTATGAGGAACTACTTTCTTCCGCCGTTCGTTCACATCTGCAGCTGTGAGCCGGATCCAGAAACCGCTGCTCATTTGCCAATGAGTGTTTGAATAATTCTCTAGCGTAATGTCTAATATCAGTGAAGACAAAACAGCTGAATTTGCTCACATTGTAAGATTACAATAACTAACCCTGTCAGGAGATCAGGAGATCACAATAACTAACCCTGAAAAAGCCAAAGCAAACACTGGCAGATTACTGCGGTGTCAATGCAGCGCTATAACATACAAAACAAACAGATCGACTGGGATGTAACCGTTTCATCAGCTCTACTTTCACACTTACGCTGACAAAATTGTCTTAGTATGCAGTCTATGTCACCATCTTGTGGCAGACCATCGTCTCCGCTCTGCTCAGTGAATCTCTCAGAAATGAGATTAAAAATAGGCAGCTTTTTATGGGAATATCGCTCAGCTTTCAGCCGATCACATTCGAGAACCAGACAGAACTGCTGTATAAAACACAACGCAACAATACAAATCTTCTCTGCGTTTCTCTTCAAGCTACTTTTCCTCATCAAATTGTCTAATAAACACAATCAAGTCTGGCAATCTGGATTAACTGTGTTTTTTTTTTAATTCATCGATTTACTACACGTTCATCATTTAAGACAACAGTTCTGCGTTTCGCTCAGTTTAAAGCACATCTTCTACACTTTATCTTATAATCGCTGCTCCGATAAACTGCACAAACATCTCGAGAGCTGCCGTATAAACTAATTTCACATGAAAATAATACTACTATTATTAATCAAAATCATGACATTAAACAACAATAATAAGAAGTGTAAGCTGACAAAATATTATACACTATTCCTTCTATGCTAATTCAATTCAATTCAGCTTTATTTGTATAGCGCTTTTACAATGTAGATTGTGTCAAAGCAGCTTCACATAAATGGTCATAGTAACTGGAACAGTGTGGTTCAGGTTTTAGTGTTTAAGTTCAGTTCAGTTCAGTTTAGCTCAGTTCAGTGTGGTTTAATCATTACTGAGAGTTCAAACACTGAAGAGCAAATTCATCAATGCGTAGCTCTATCGATCCTGAACCATGCGAGGCAGTGGCGACAGCGGAGAGGGAAAAAAACTTCACCTGATGGGAGTGAAGAAAAAAAAAACCTTGAGAGAACCAGACTCAGTTGGGCACGACCATTTTAATTTCTCCGCTGGCCAAAAGTCTTGTGCAGAGCTTCATTCGCCGCGGTTGAGGACTGAAGGACTGAATGAAGGACTGCCGAGGCATTCCCAGCATGGCTTGGTTCCTCCTGGCGTGGCAGAGTTCCTCACAGCTTCGATACGCATCTCTGCCGTTCGCTTACAGTGACCATGTGCCTTTCTCCATACACAATTCATCTACTCGTGATCTTCCTTCAAATAACTTTGGCATGTTTGGTGTCATTTGACAGTTCACGTTTTACTGATGAAATAAACAGAGACATCAGTTGACTGTATTTCAATGTACAGCATATTTACTATTGCCGAGTCGTGGCGTGAGGAGAGGATGTTCATGTTCTTCTCCCCTCACTTTATCTCCTCAACTCTGCTCATGTTCAGCTGGTTTTAAGGGTTGGTTTTAACTCGGGTTTGACGATGCTTTGCTCAGGGTATAATAAGGAAAGCTAACTGTTGATCTGGGAGAATGGCTTTTACCAGTTTCACCGTCTCTGCTGCTCAGCGGTGCACGTGTTACAGCTGATTTCTTCATACAGTATGCTAGTTTGTTTTATTCCACTGTCTGTATATTTAAGCATGTCACTTAATAAACAACTTTGCCTGCTTTAAGACGTAGAGAATCTTTCTCCATCAACGATGATAACAACTTTAATAGAGTCAGATTCATTACAACGGAGTCAGATAAATCATGGATTTAAACACGCCGTCCTTCAAACGCTTTCCGTTTCCTGACTATCGGTTCAGAAGAGCAGCGTAAGATTCAAACCCTACAATAAGTAAAACAACAATCTCATTACAATTACTATTTTATATCTATTAATATTCTGCTTCTATTTCTTACAAGGTTATTTCAGTAAACAGAAAACCACAGACCACAAATAAAACGACAGAAATGAAAACTCCACTCAAACAAAACAACAGCATCAATCTTTTCCCCGTTTCCTAACGTCATTACTTCTTTTTTTCGTTAAACGTACACTCTCAATCCCAGTTAACGCTAAGTGTGTTCAGTTGAGTCCACTAAACTAAGTTATAACTATTTAAACTAACTATCAAATGTAAGACTGACGCTCGATGGATACAAAAATAAACACTAATAATTTCACAAAATAAAAACTACGCTAAACATCTAAAACCGCACACTCTCATTTAGAGTAAACGAATTATATCCAGTCAATTACAAACAACATTGATCCCTGCGTTTTATATTCTACATCAGCGGTCCTCAAACTGCGGTGAGCTTGGGTCACCTCCAAGTGGGAGGGACTTAAACCACACGTAGGTTGGGTTTATCAGGTTACTGTGAGGTTGGGTTTAGGGTTGGGTTTAGGTGTACACGTTCATAAAACACTACAGGTTACTCTGAGGTTGGGTTTAGGTGTAGACGTTCATAAAACACTACAGGTTACTGTGAGGTTGGGTTTAGGGTTGGGTTTAGGTGTAGACGTTCAGAAAACACTACAGGTTACTGTGAGGTTGGGTTTAGGGTTGGGTTTAGGTGTACACGTTCATAAAGCACTATATTGAACTCTAAATACGACTAAATAAGGTTTGCACAGCCCACTTGGAGCTCCAAGGCCCACCCTCTTGGAGCTGGCTCTGATCTCCGTCTATACCCTTCTCATCAATTCTGTCCTAAAGTACAGGCTACATGTACATACTTCCAAATTGATCAAAAATGATTTAGATATGAATATAATGACAAGCGTATAGCATATATCAGAGCTCCAGGCAAAACTTTCAGGTGTTGATGAATTGGCGACTATAGCTATTATTGTTTGTGTTTTTTTTTTTTTTTTTACATACTAGCACAGCACAGTCGTATCGTTCAGACTATTTATTTTAGTCAAGTTACAGTACTTTTACTTAAATATGCTTTTTCACTACTCTTTCCACCACTGCTAGTGGTACGCAGGCATCCTTCTAGTAGTACGCGGAGCAATCAATTCTGTCCTTAAGTACAGGCTACATATATTTCCACATTTATCAAAGATGATTTAGATATGAATATAATGACATATAGCCTATAGCATATTACACAGCTCCAGGCAATACTTTCAGGTGTTTATGAATTGGCGACTATAGCTATTATTGTTTGTTTGTTTTCTTTACATATGAGCACAGAACAGTACAGTACACCTTATCAGGTGAAGTTTTTTTCCCTCTCCGCTGTCGCCACTGGCTCGCATGGTTCAGGATTGGTAGAGCTACGCATCGATGAATCTGCTCTTCAGTGTTTGAACTCTCAGTAATGATTAAATCACACTGAACTGAGCTAAACTGAACTGAACTGAACTTAAACACTAAAACCTGAACCACCCTGTTCCAGTTACTATGACCATTTATATGAAGCTGCTTTGACACAATCTACATTGTAAAAGCGCTATACAAATAAAGCTGAATTGAATTGAATTAATGTTCAGACTATTTCTAATGTTTAAAGTGACTGACAATAATAAATATTCTTAACGATAGTAATTAATCTGCCACGTTATTGATCTGTGCAGAGCTGTGGCTTCTTCACTGGGCCAACTACGCTACTGTATGTCATCACTGCTCATTGTGGTGGTACTTGAGCAGACGATTTCTTTTTCTGAGGTGGTGCTCGATGAAAAAGGTTTGAGAAGCGCTGATCTATATTATTAATCTATTCTATATTATTTCATCAAAACTGCGCAAACTTTCTAATCCCTGTGCTATTCTGTCTACTTACTATACTTCATACCCAAATACTTTCATTGTCTATAACTAACAACCAATCCCATATGAGCATCTGCCAGATAATTCGATATAAAACATTAATATTAACAATAATAATAATAATGCTCCAAAACATTTAGGGCCCTATCACACACCCGGCGCAGTGTGGCGCAAGGCGCAGCGCTATAGTTTTTTGCTAGTTTCAGCTTGGCGCAAGAGTGGTTTTGAGGCGTTGCGCTTCGCTGTTTAAATAGCAAATGCATTAGCGCTCATATGTGCGCCCATAGGTGTTCTGGTCTAAAAAGGGAGGCGTTCTGAGGCGGACCGCTGGCGCGTTGCTATTTTGAGAAACTATAATAGATTTTTCATTAGACCAAAACTAACCCGGTCTAAACTCCAGCACAGAGTTACACCTCGCTTACACACTGCTTAATACACACAAGAAGATGTAGAGCAATAGGCAAATATCTTTACATATGAACAAAATAATATATTAAGGATATATATAGAATATAAATATAAAGGATTAAAATATTACAAAACATATTATTTTCTAGCCCACATAAATATGAAGAATCACTGCTTTTATGTCTTCTTTATCTCAGGAGGCTTTTTCAGTTCATTCATAACAATTTGCTTTTGTATAATGTTATTATTATTAGCAGGATTATTTATTATATCCATATTTATATTTGTTTTATTAAAAACAAGCTTAGATTTGTCCACCTGTCAGGTTTTAGACCGTATGGGGCACAGCATGTGTTTTAGGATATAACTCAGGTTTTTGAGCACACTTCATTGTTATTGTTCATTTATTCGTTTGCTGGAAATTACAACTGAATTTAGAAATAGTTTTGAATCTAATCTTTGCACTTAACAAACAAAATTAATTATTTATAGGCTAATAATTATTTATGTCTGTGCGTAAACGAGCCCGAAAGTGAAAGTAGATCATTAATCTGTCATTCTCACGCTGCAGATGCTCTGTTTAACTGTTTTCTTGCTAGTGAAATGCTCAGTTTTTCCACTTACACTTACTTTACGTCCTGTAAATAGCGAATGCGAATCTCAAAACACACCTATAACTCAATAAGAAAATAAACTCAACCCTTTTTTTAGATCATGCGCCACGGCGCTAAGCGGATTTTCCCGTCCTTAAATTAGTAAAAATGCGTTCTGACACGCCCTGAAAGCGTTTGCGCCCTGCGCTTTGCGCTCTGTGCATGGACCGTCAAAATAGAGCCCTTAATCACACTTACTTCTGTTGTCGTACAAGAAGTCTTGACGCTTTTCCGATGAGCTCCGCTGCTTGCCGTAGTCGCTCCTCATTCTGGAAAACAAGCGGGAACACGTACAGTTACTGTACATACAGTCATCATCACTGGAAACTCACCGCTGCTGCTGCTGATATATGCTCATATAACACACACACACACACACACACACACACACACAGACACATTCACTACTTCATCAGTTTCATCCTTCAACAGCTCTTCTCAATCATTATAAAAACCTTTTCTCAGCCGAATAATTACAATTAAACAAACGACTACAAGACTGGACGAATGAATGAATGAATGAATGAATGACCCTATGAATGAATGAAATTACAAAGTAATCAATGAATGAACAAATAAAAGTGCAGATGAACATACTAACGAATGAACGTACTAATGAATAAATAAACGTATGCACCGATCAATCTACAAATGACTCCATCGACTTATGAATGACTATCCAAACCTATGTACAACTGCATCAATATGACCATGTATGAATGAATGGATTAATATATGAATGAACATATTAATCAACGCACAAAAAATTGATTGGACACATTTAGGAATACATCTACAAACCAACCGAAGAATAAACAAATCAACTAACGAAAGTGCAAATAAATTAACGCACATACTAATCAATCAACCTACAAATGAACGAATGAACATATGAATGAATCAATATACTCATCACTAAACTAAATTGATTATTAGAAGTATACGCATCGTTAACCGCATGTATAAATCAACGTATGAATGAATGAACAAACATATGTATGGATAAACAAACATACAAAGGATCTAAGCGACAAATGAGCGAGTGAATCAATGACCTACAGTGTGTGTGTGTGTGTGTGTGTGTCTGTGTGATGCCAGTGTCATTTCCTGACCTCGAACACTGCCGCCGCCTGCTGGTACAGATGAACAGCTTTGGACAGATCCAGCGGCTCCATCAGCCTGCAAACAACAACAACAGCAGTTCAGATTCTGCCATGCATCAACATCGGTCTCTGCAAGAAGAACAGCGCACACACTTCCCAGCTCTGTCCAGGGCCATGGCGGCGGTGTCCGGAGTGCCGTTCTCCACGTACATCACACTGGCCTTCTCGATGTACTGCACGGCCTCTGGCATCCTCTGCAGATCCTACACACACACACTCACACACACACACATGCACACGCACACGCGCACGCGCACGCGCACACGCACACGCACACGCACACGCACACGCACACACACACGCACACACACACACACACACACACACAGAACAGCAGCTTGTGAAAACACTTCTCTCATGATGACCCACAGAGCCATGCGCGCACACACACACACACACACACACAGAACAACAGCTTGTGAAAACGCCTCTCTCACGATGACCCACAAAGCCATGCGCACACACACACACACACATACACACACACACACACACACATCAATCACAAGTACGGCTGCTAAATAATTTCATCACACACAAAATAACATTTCTTTTCCTCCACACGTGCATGTGCGCGGTTTATATTCATGCATACTCACTACACACCACTCGGTTACATTTTGCACATGCGCAAGTGTCCTGCTCATGTTTAAAGTCATATGTTTTATGCCTATGCAGAACACACATAAACAACACAACTATGAGCAGACAAACTGTTTATTTACTATGTCAGGAATAGGGATGTAACAATATCAGAATTTCTCTGTAGGGTAATACCTCGGTATGAATGGCACGGTACGGCATTTATTAAATAATTTACAGAAAAAACAAAACTAATGAAAAGACTCGAAAAAAATGCTAAAAGTGTTTATTAACCTCAGCACTGAACATATCAATGACACACAAATCAGCATCTATCTGTCAGTTTCCAAACAGGAACTTCAATTTTTCAATTTTAATAACAAAAAACTATTAAACCATATAAAAATAAATAAAGTTTCAATTTAGTATTGTTGAAATATGATTTAACCAAGGTTGACAGCAGTGGGTAACGTTGAGAGGACAAGCCATGAGTGAGATAGAGGTCTCTCTGCGGTACACGTCAACGTCTGCATCAATCTAACAAGTGTGCTGTGTTCTGCAGTCCGCATGACTGTTTTTAGTCGTGTTCCCCGACTTATATTTCACCACAGTCTGGCAGTGCCTGCATACCGTTTTGCTCTTTGTCTGTCACCTTTTCTCCTTTCTCGTATCTTTTTAGAAAGAAACCGAAATGCTTCCACACATCTGATTTAAAACCCGCTTTAGGTTCGATCATTTACAGCACTTTTAATTCCCCGCTACTAGCAGCACACTCCATTTCAGCATTACTGGATCTGTAGTGACAACAGAGCGCAATGGATGATGGCCACGCCTGGGTTCATTCGTCTAAGCAAAGTTTTCTCAGAAATATAGTTTTGAGTCGTGCGCCTACGGTAATATTGAAAAAAATTACTATTGCGGTATGACGGCATTAACAATATTCTTACATCCCTAGTCAGGAATGATCATTACATCAAGAGCAGAAGAATACATCGATAAGAGTGGACGAGCTCACCTTCAGCATCATCCCGGCCTGCTCGAACGCCCTGAAACACAAACACTACAGGTCACAATTCCTCACAATTCCTCTTTCACTGAGAGCGGACGTCTTCAACACACGTCTAATCATAATACTATTAATAACATTCATGTTATCTTTGCGTGTCATCCTTTCCGACTGTTACCTTAATTCATCAAACTCAGTCCGGAGGTTATGGACATCAGAGAATATACCTTATTGACCAATTACCATGTTTGTAAACATTCAGGATGCGCGCGCAGGGAGGTGGCAGAAAGCAACCGGGAGCCCCAGCGTTTACAGCGAGGGAATGACATCAGATGCGTTGCAGAGTTTGTTGTTGTCTTAGAAACAAGATATATTACTTACATATTATATATATTATTTACATAATGCTTACAGCATATTATAACAGCTCGTCACCCAGTGACAAGCGCAGTTATTCAGCAAAATTAACGTTTAAGTGAGCGTCGTTCATCTGACAGCTCCATTTGCGATAGCTCCCTCCCAATGGATATTGGATAAGAGGAAATGACCGAGCATCCAGCCCCGAATATACAATCTCAATGAAGCTCCGAGTGATTTCACAAGAGAGAAGTTAAAGGTCTACAAGTCTTTGGATGCCAACAATGTTGTTCTTTGAGGTCACGTGCAATAAATATTGCTCCATGATGACCAGATTCAAGAGCTGAACACCGAGATTCCCCCTAGCCAAAGACAAGGAAACAAGACGGAGCTAAAGATATACAAGCCCTGGGTAATTAATCACCAACACATGCAAAACCACTGCATTCTGACAGCGAACTACACCTACACATAAAGGTAAAGTCGGTTTTGTATTCGCACATTCAGACTTTCTCCTTAACAATATAATTTCATAAAAATATTATTTGCAAACTCTAAATAGCGAAATCATATTAGCAGCCAATGACTATCAGAGTACAACATTGTTCACAGTCAAATAAACAGTGTTAACGTTGTTTTCAAGTCACACTTGCAGGTTATTTCAGACCGAATATTCAGAGTGCCGTGGTAAACAATAGGGAGTTTGTCACAAGTTGTCACTGAATGAATGTGTGAATATAAAACCAAGTTTTCCTTAATAAACATAACTTTCACGTTTCGTTATTAGCATTCAGCGTCGGCAGTTTAATTCACCACATGTAACTGTTTTTGCTGAAATCATTTCTGCGATCAAAATCGAGTGATGTGTCTGATTCAGCATAGCCTGAACTGACCTGATATGACATGAGAGCTGCAGAGTCCAGCATTTCTAACGAGCTCCTCACTTCATTCAGCTCCCTTTTAGTCAAAGACGTCTGCAGTCGGTATTAAAGCAGAGTGTGGTGTATGGTAAATGTTACGTTTTCTATTTTTTGACTCGATTTCGGCATCCTACCGCACAACACGACATCTTTCCCATTGCAGCCTGTCTGTTTTTTGCAACCGGGGACCCGCGTGACGTCATGTGTGACGTAGGGTGGTAATTGGTCTATTGGAATCATTTCCAAACAAGCAGAGATGTCCACGAGCGGCCCCGTCTCTAAAGTGTCTGTGTTCTGCCCGTTCTTTAGACAGATGATGTCATTTTTAACTTTCACCACTTTAGGACGTTTTCACTTCAGTGAGAGGTTCGAGAGGGGTCTTGCTGCAGCATCGGTGCACATGCAATCTGAGCTGCGTGCAGTGGTTTTAAATGGCCTCTCCTAACCCCACCCCTCACAGTGACATCTCCAGCTCCATTAAGTGCATCGTGTCTGACATTGCATCTCTGAAATACGCAGTCTCAGCTCTCATCCAGATACTATTGACTGGTTGAGTATATCTTTAGGTGCTCGTGTTATTGTGGGCCCTGCCTCCTGCAACGCAAACACCCCAGTTCTCCCTCCACAGATGCAATCTCTTCAGCCTTTGCATGCATTGCCATGCTGGTGCATTCATTTTAAAGTACGTCACTCGCTCTCCTGAAAGCCTCTAACAAATATAACGTCATGTATTTGTTTTACATACGCAATCAATGTTTACATGTAAAGCAATTACCCTGGAGCTTCCCACAACGGTGACCGCGCACACTGCCTTCTACAAACACACCAGCAGATGTCGCCCTTTCCCTCTAAATGCATCTCCACACATTTATAGACGCTTAAAGAGATTAAAAAGTCTTCATGCCATATCTACTCTCTCTAATATTAGACTAGATATTCTTCAAGACACTAGTGTTCAGCTTAAAGTGACATGTAAAGGCTTCACTAGGGTAATCAGGGTAAAGTTAGTGTAATTAGGCAAGTGACTGTATAACAGTGGTTTGTTCTGGAGACAATCCAACACTAATATTGCTGAAGGGGCCAATAATATTGACCTTTACATGGGTTTAGGCTGCTTTTATTCTAGCCTAAATAAAACAAATTTCTCCTAAAGAACAAGAGGAAACACTGTGAAAATGTGTTTGCTCTGCTATTAAACATCAATTAGAAAACAACTGGAGAAAGAGATGAATAGATTTGGACTTCGGCTGTGTCTGTACACACTCACTTTGCAGCATGAAAAAGTCTGGAGGAAGAGTCAAGGAGAAAGAGCTGAATGCAGCACGGGCCGCTGTTTAACAGGAGTAATGCATGACTGTAAGTGAAGGATACGATCTGTTGTTCGCGTGCGCTTCAGCCTCCTGTAGATACGCATCTTTGGCCTGTTCCAGCTGTTTAGCATTTTTAAAGGCGACCGCTGGAGGAAAGAGAAGGAGAAGAAGATCATCATCAAACTTTAGGACATCATCATCATCATCATCAGAGAGAGACTACAGACTTAATTCAGCTTTCATGTAATAAATCTTCATTACATCTTATGAACCTCATGGCTTGTTTTGTGGTGCAGCATCACATTTCATGCAGAAACACGCAGCAATCCACAAATACACAAACTCTTTTTCCTCTTCTGTGTAATGTTATCAGTGTTACAGGATTATATGAAAATATAAATCATAGTTCAATTAGCCAGAGATGTACAACCAACTGAACGAATGAATGAATGAATAAATACATTAATTATTAAGTAATGTATGAATGAATGACACAAATTAAATTATAAATAAACTGAATGAACAAATAAATTTATAACACAAATAAATGCATAGTGGCCGAATCGATAATCAAACAAATAACTGCTTAATAAATGGATTAATGCAATGAACAAATTCTTTCATAAATAAATGAATGGACAAATGAATGAATAAAAAAAATAAACAAATAAATGGATGGATTGATGAATGAATCAACAAACAAATATCATGAATAAATTAATGAACAAATGAATACCTAATGGGTAAATCAATAAATAAACAAACAAATAAATACATGAATAAACAAATGAATAAATAAATGATTTGATCAATCAATTAATAAAAAAATAAACATCCTAAATGAATATCGAAAGAATGAATGAATACAGAGTAGATGGATCCATAAACAAAAAAATAAATACATAAAAACATGAATGAATGAATGAATGAATGAATGCTAATCCTGAATTAATAAAAAAAAGATAAATAATATAAATGGATTAATGCATAAATAACCCAACAATTGAATAAATGAATACATTAATTAACGGATGGATGAATTAATAAAGAAAAACAGATTACGGATGAACAAATAAACAAATAAATTAACAAACAAATAAATTACTGAAATAAATGAATAGAAAAATGAATAAGCAAATTAATACTTTAATAAATAAATATGAATGAATGAATAAATAAATTAATGAATGAATGAATACACCACGGGTCAAGAGATAAATGAAAGAATTAACAAACAAGACATTATTACTTTAAAAGCAAATAAAGAAATGAATGAATAAACAGATCAATAAATGAATAAACAAACTAATAAATAAAAGAATAAATGTATAAACAAATGGATAACTGGAACAATGCTTTTTTCTATAATAAATGAATAAGCTAATAAATAAATAATTTAATGTATGAATAAACAGATGAATAAATGAACAAACAAATAAAAACACACATTAAAGAATAAACAAAACAACTAAAAACATAAACAGATAAACTACCTACTCAACAAATAGATCAATAACAGCTGTACTTTATTCTGTACAGCTCCCATATATATATATACATACATACATACACACACACACGTGTTTGTGTGTGTGTGTGTGTATATATATATATATATATATATATATATATATATATATATATATATATATATATATGATATAATTTAAACAACATATAATGAACAAATGCTAATCATTGCGCTAAACAAACAAACAAACGAGCAGCGTGTGTACGGAGAGGGTGTTAAAGGTGTCCGCTCACCTGCTTTAGCGTATTCAGACGCAGCGCTGTCATAATCAGGCTTCCACTTCATAAAGCTCGTCTTTAAGCTGCATTGAATAGGAAATACAGATGTTTACTGTTCACACACCCACCATCAAGCGATCACCTGGACAGCCTAAAGCAGGTAATACGTTAAAACAACAGTAAACGCTGACATTCGACACGCTGCTCGGTTATTAAAGCCATTACAATTTGATATTCGTCAGAAAATGTACATTAGAGAGGAGCGAACGTGCGGTCATGTTCATTCACAGGCGCTACAGTACAGACTCAACAGCTTTACTCACTATTTCTCCGCCTTGGCGATGTGCTCGTGAGCTTCGCTGATTTTCTGCGCCATAATCGTTACACATAAATGATTAAATACTGTAAATAAACCTTCGTTTGTCGCTCGCACGCTGGATGTGTTGTCAGCTGACGATGATGATTGTGAGGCGAACGTTTTCTTCCGGGTTACTACGTCATCTGCGGCACGTCACTTGTTCGTCCTTTATTGGGCATAACCAAAAATAATCATCGTTTAAACTGTTTTGTAGCGTTTTTTCATCATTTATCATATCGCATTTACATAAAGACATCTCTGCGATTTTATGTCAGATACGTGTTTGTTTTATGCAATGTTTTTAAAAAGTGCGCGCAGCAACGCTTACGTTGAAACGCTTTCTGAACTTTAGGACACGTCCTCGGGGGTTATTATTATCATTTACACGACTGACGTACATTATATCACAAAACGTTCAGATTTAACTCACCGAAACAAAACGCGATGACCGCTGTTGAGAAAGGTGACGGATAACACGTGACACTTCCTATTCACCCCAACGTAGACGCTGAGCGCACCGATTAATGATGATGATGAACTTCGCTTATTTGATCACAATTAACGATTCACTAATTATAAGAATAAAAACTGACAGAAAGTTCACATCATTAAGTATTTTGCCGTCCTCTTATCTAAACGATGCACCGCAAGAAGCAGTTTTTACAATATTTTATACAAGCAACGATCATTGATCATTCACTTGCTGATTAACCCCACTAACAGCTTTTCTCTGCAAAAACGCTAACTAAACGTATTGAAATTCTTAAACATTCAAAACGATCATTTTAAACACTGCAAGTCAACGCACTGGAACACAATGCAGATCCGACACAGAGGAAATATCCAGCGAGCGGCGGCTCTGTGGGCGCAAACGCCTAGTCGATGCCAGAGGAGAATGGCCAGACCGGTTCCAGCACAGAAAGGCGACAGTGACTCAAATAAGCATTCGGTACAACCGAGCTCTGCAGAAGAGCATCTCCGAACGCGCAACACGTCCAACCTTGAGGCGGATGGGCTACAGCAGCAGAAGAGCACACGGGGTGCCGCTCCTGTCAGCTAAGAACAGGAAACTGAGGCTACAATTCACACAGACTCACCAAAACTGGACAATAGAAGATTGGAGAAACGTCGCTGCTCTGATGAGTCTCCATTTCTGCTGACGCATTCGGATGCTCGGCTCACAATTTGGCCTCGACAACATGAAAGCATGGATCATCCTGCCTCGTATCAGCGGTTCAGGCTGGTGGTGGTGGTGTAATGGTGTGGGGGAGATTTTCTTTGGGTCCATTAGTACCGATTGAGCATCAACGCCACAGCCTACCTGAGAGTTGCTGCTGACCATGTCCATCCCTTTATGAGCACAGCGTCTTCATCTTCCGATGGCTACTTCCAGCAGGATAACGCAGCATGTCGTAAAGCTCAATCATCTCAGACTGGTTTCTTGAACGTGACGATGAGTTCACTGTACTCGAACGGCCTCCACAGTCACCAGAGCTCAATCCAATAGAGCAGCTTTGGGATGTGGTGGAACGGGAGATCGGCATCATGGATGCGCAGCCGACAAATCGAGAGGGTGCTCGCTGCAGAGCCATTTGAGGAGAGGTGATCTCCAGAGAGGGGGAGCATGAGCTGTCGCTCCTCCTACTGTAAGCTGTTTTAATGCGTACACCAACCCCACCCCTAACCCTACCCCCAGTGACATCACTCGTAGAAGAAGTGCAAAAAAGGTGGAGCTCAAGCTTAAGCTCCCCCTCTCTGGAGCTCACCTCTCCTCAAATGGCTCTGCAGCGAGCACCACTTGGACAAATCTGCAGCAACTGCGTGATGCTATCATGTCAACATGGAGCAACATCTCTGAGGAACATTTCCAGTAGCTTGCTGAATCTCCGCCACCAAGGATTAAGGCGGTTCTGAAGGCAAAAGAGGGTACGAATAAAGGTGTACCTAATAAAGCGGCCGGTTACTGTTTTCATCACATGCATATCGTCTACATCAGCGGTTCTCAAACTTTTTTCATCAAGTACCACCTCAGGAAAAATTTGTCTCTCCAAGTACCGCCGAAATGAGCAGTATCGAAACACAGTAGCGCAGTAGGCCCAGTAAAGCAGCTACAACTCTGGACAGTTAAAAAATCATGGCAGATCACCTCAGAAATATAGGCTATATGTCATATATGGCATATTATATACATCATTTTTGGTAAACTTTGAAATGTGTGTAGCATGTACGTGACATATTTCATTCCTTCTCGTACCACTAGAAGGAAACCTGCGTACCACAGTTTGAAAACAACTGGTCTACATGCTTTAACAAAACACACGCACACACACACGCAAACGCAGTGTATTTTACATACATGGCGCACGCACACATCATGCAAATGCTATTAGTATGACTGAGATGCGTTGGGGATACGCTAATCTGAATGCGGTTAATCATGACCCATTAAATGCGAACGCTTGCAAAAAATAAAAACACAGGCACGTCTTCCGTTGTTGGCATTTCTTTAATAAACGTCTGCCAAAGAGGGGGACAAAACATCTTCATACAAAACAAAAAAAAAAAAGAAAGCATCGTCGCTCGTCTCCTCGAGAGAAAAAAAACAAACAAAAAACAGGTCAAACGTCTCTTTAACTATCGATTTTACAATGGCTATAGACAAGAGCTGGTGACGAAACGCAGCGCCGATCCGTTCAGTAGATTCACCAGATCGCACAAGTGCTGCCGGTCTCCCCGGACCCCTCGAAACCTTCGGGCGGAGCCCGGAGCGGTCAAAAATCATCAAGAAAAGAAAAAGAAACCGACCCAAAATAAAACGCCTCACGTCGCCGCTCGTCACGCGCGCAGATGCGGCACAGCGCTCCGCTCGCGTCCGCCTACTTTGTTCAGTAGTGCAAAACATCGTAATACTGGAGGTCCGTCCTTCCGTCCGTCCGTCCTCGCGCAGCTGCTAAAAACACTTACCGCGCGGCGAACGCACGCCCCCGAAACAAAGAAAGGTCTGGTTTTAATTTAAAAGACAGCAGCGGAATACAGATTACCAAACCAAATCCGTCCGGAGAAACCGAACGGATCTACGAAACGGCGCGAGCGGGAAATCCCAAAAAAAAGTTCCCATCGCCGCGTCCGTCCCTCCGGTTTTACAAACGTTACAAACGGGTTTAGTGCTGGTTTCGGGGCGACCGCGCGCCTCTTTCGGAGTCTTTCTTTTCTCCGAGGCGTTCGGGGTCGGTCGGTTCTCTCTCCGCGGGGCATCAAAAAGGCAGTCCTCGACCCCGCAGCGCCGCCGCGTACCCCAGCGATTGGGACGGGGAAGTCCAGGGCTGTCCCGGCGGGGGCGGCGGCGGCCCGTGATTGTACTCGAACCGATGGTCCTGATCTCCGCTGAACACCATGCCATGATCTCCGCGAGCGAAGGCTTCCGGGCCCAGCGGCGCGTGCGGAGGCAGGCCGGCCCCCATCATGCGGCCGAGGTAGCTGTCCGAGAAGCCCGCGTGCGGGAACGGCGGCGGGGGCCGGCCGAAATCTCCCCCGTATCCCGATCCGTCCGGAGGATAGTCCGGCTCCGGGGGTCGAGGAGGTTCCGCCGGTCGGCTCTCGGGGGCGTGCCGGTAGTCCAGGTCGGCGCAGGGCGGAGGTTCCGGGGGTTCCGGGGGTCTCTGGTCCGGCGGGAGAATGGAGAGAGAGTCCAGAGTCCCGGAGGACGGGACGCCGCCGCCTTCCGCATCTGCAACGAAAAACACACGAGGGTGAGAGACGAAAATCACCTACGGCGACACAGAGCTAACGACCGCATCCGCGACGCCCCGCTGTCGAACGCTAGCCTAGAGCGGCGGCGGCGGGGGTCGCTTGGCGATTTCCAAAAATCTGATTCGTTTCGCCCAAATTACCACAACGAGCGCGAGAAAAAAATGCCGCAAGAGAAAAAAATGCCGTTCTGTGGTCGCGGCGCGCATTTTCCGCCGTCGCGTTGCGACCTCCGGGGTGTCGTCACGTCGAACCCGGGCCGGACGATCGAGCTCTCGCTGGGCTTTCCGGAAACGGGCGCGTCCAGCGAAGCTGGAGCCGAAATCTGCGGGACGCCGGCCCTCCGGGACCGAGTTCGGACGCCCCCGCGTTAAAGACGCAGCGGCGGGGTTGGACGCGGAAGATCCGTTTCGCGGCACCGGGGTTAACTTTCCGATGCCTTTGCGGCACTCGGGTACGACGAAACGGAACGCAGGCCGCGACCGAACGTAGCGGATGATCTCCGGCGTTCCCCCAAATTAAACGAACGACGGACTCGGCGCGCGTGAACCGTTTCGCGAGCTTCGCACCTGTACGACCACCTCGGAGGAACACGGAGGGTCGCGAATTGCCGGCGTCGTTTTTTCGGGGGTCGCGGACCGAAAACTTCGGAAACCTTCGGCCTAGAGCGCCGTCTGCTGTTAAACGATAGCCCGCGGTAAACGATTCGTCTGTCGTTCGAGCATTTTCACGAATGCCGTTTTATAGTTCGTAGCGTTATTCCAATCGGGAACGCGGATCGCGTGCAGATAAATCCTTCACCCGTAAAGGACGTCGAGACGGATCCGTTTGTCCATCGTTTATTTTAATAAACGGCCTTACGAAGATACCGCTAACCGGCGCAGCCAGTCTCTCTCCTGCTCTCGGTAACGCAAACGCGTGAATAAATGCGTATAAACGCATGCGCGTTAACTGTCGTTTTCACGATCGAGTTATTTTCCGTCTTTTTTTTCTTCGTCTGAACGCGTTTGACCTCGTCGTAACCGTGATATTTACACTCCTCCGTAAAACGTAATGCATACGTGACCGCACGGGCCGCTTTTCGCTGTACTCCGTGACAAAAAAGGAACGTCGAACGTTGCTCCGCGTCCACGATGGAACTCGCAGGCGTTCGATAGACTCGTTCCTGAGCGATACGCTTATTTAAGCGTGTCTGACGATAACACTACGCAGGCAGATTTATACGCGGTTTTAAAACTTTCGGAACGACCGTAAAGCGAAACGGACGCGTTTCCCGCGAAGCTGGAGCCGAAATCTGCGGGACGCCGGCCCTCCGGGACCGAGTTTTCGCGCATTTGTTTGTTCGTGATATATAGCGTGGATTATAATATAATAAACAGAGAGATAAACTCTTTGTCACGGACGTTA